TAAAAAAATCTAACGTATATTTTACCTTCTCCGTAGCGAAAGGTTAACAAGATTTTCCGCAATTGCTCCATCGCGTTGAGCTGTCTGAAAGCAGACTATAAGATAAAAGTCTTAATTGCTTTTAGTTCACCGTTCTTGTGGTCTGAACCAAAAACCTTTTTAACTTTAAGAGTATCATATTTTCGAGTGAAGAAATCAACGCTTACTTCCTTATGTGAAGTAATGGATATTGTAATCGCGAAAAATTTCGGGCATAATATTTCAACGAAAATATCCATTTTTGATCGCTTTCAAATGCAATTTAACGGTGTTTTTGCGTGACATCTGTACGTAAGGGCAGAATAAAGGGCTCTTTTCCCCCAAAAAAATAATAAAACTGATTTAAAATGAATTCCGAAGAGAATTTTTCATTGTGTCTGTACGTACGTACATACCGTATGTATGGATCTTGCATAACTCCAGAACGAATAGCCTCAGAAAATTTAAATTTTGTATATGAGACTGCTATAACATTTAGTTGTGCACTTCTCTTTTTAGTTGCAACCGGCCACACCAAAATTATATATATATATATATATACACACACATATACTCTGAATTTTTATGTATTTTTGCTTTGCAGCGAAGAGGCCATCCAGCGGCCGAGCGGTAAAGTCGCTGAACACTGGTAGTTCGGTCCAAGGTTCGAATCCTGCGAACGGGCTGGCTGCATGGGTGTTTTCGTGGTTTTCCCGATGTGTAACGTGTATACGAGCCAGTTTCCCTTAGAAAGTCCTCCACGAAGGCATCCCTCCCCTTAGGCTGATAGCTCTCGAGGCTTTGCCGTAATTAAATAACCTAACCTAACCTAACCTTTGCAGCGAAATGAGAACTGAATTAACTGAATGAGATATATATTTCTAATGGAATTCAAGGAAATAAGTTTTAATGAAATACAGCAAAAAATTTAATAGGCCGTCATATGGTATCTACATCGCTTTTTTTTTTTTTTCTTCCCTCTTTTTTTTCAAATACTTCATCAGCAGATTCCAAAAGACAACGCATTTTAGCTGAAGCCACACAGCTATCTGAAATAACTTTGCTGTATGCAACACACTGTGGATTACCATTGTAATTCACGATAACTTACCTTCTACTTCCTAAATTTTTTAATAACTGTTCTGGGTTAATTAATTATAGAAGGATAACTGGCCTCACTTCTTTTGGAGCGATTTCATTTGTATCACTCTCATTATTACTATCATGATATTCAGCAAAAGAGCTACTTGTTGAAGCAGAAGAATTAAGTTCTGCAAAAGAATGCTTTATAGTCTCTGTGGCGACATCATTTGCGATACTGAAGCGCCATCTGTGAAACTTCGAGTGCGATTAACGGTTAATATTAAAAAAACAAAAAAGTTTCAGATTTTAAATTACGTCTAAAGGGGCGTTTTTTTAACATTTTGTGTGTTACTTTTATTTATTAAATATCATGTTCTTCGCACTTAAACCATAAAATTCAGTTCAATAGCAATATCGCAAAATAATTTTAAATTGAGCATATCTTTAGAATTTCCGAAACACAGGCTCACGCGCTGCTGATAAAAATGTTTTTTCTGTACAACGTTGCCATTGCTCGCTTTGAAATCGTTGAGTTTATTAATCAAAAATTCGTTTAAGGTTTACAAAATATTAGGTACCATTGTTTTCTCAGAATGCGAGAAACATACATACATCTATGCAGATTCTTTATTATTTAATTTCTTTAAATATAATACAGGGCGATAATACTTGGTGGCAGCAGTTTGAAAAGTGAAACGGACATTCAGAGTGATGATTCGATGCAAAATCGCAAAGCAAGAACAATGGTCCCTCAGGACAAAGCCCATTTGGACTTTAAAAAAAAGAATCTGGACCTGGACGACACAGCGAACAGCGATTTAACAAGCGAACTTTAACATATCGTGCGATTCATGTGATAGGATAATAGGATAATTCAGTTTGAAAATGCGCGGGATGGAATGTAGACGCAATTAATTTTGATTCATTTTGTATTTGAAGGTACAATCGACGAAAAATAAATAATTATCTGTTATTCTGGTTGGATTTGTTCTATCCCGAGATATTCTATTTTTTATTTCTAATCTTACGGAAAAGTAAGTTTGATGTGATTTATCAATAAGCAAAAACTTAAAACAAAGAAAAAACTTTCAATCAATTTGACACATTATTACGCCGACAGTGATTATTACGCCTGGCTACGCGCAGCACCCTTTTATATTCAAGTATAAGGGACTCCCCTGTGTTTTTAAAACTGGTGTGCTTCTAGATCAGTTGAGATCCCGTCAAGCGATCAGTAAAGAACCGAGCCAGGGAGTTAGCGATACAGGAATTACAGGCAATTCCCCAGCGCGGTTGCTGTCATGGAGGTAGGAAAGGGAGGAGGGGCCATTCCGCGCTAGAAGTGAAGCACTGCTTTGAAGCTTGGGTCACCAGACGGGGTGTTCTTTGTTTACATTCAGAAGCTCGCTTGACAAGATTCTGATAGTATTTCAACACACGACAGTTCCATAGAAATCGAAAAAGGGACACTCTCGCATGAAAGAAACATTCATAGTGTGATGGATAACAGCAATTTTTATAGTTTACTGACATTTACGCAAAAATCATATCTTGGTTATTTTTCGATAACTAACAACAGCGATTTTGATTATGAATTTGTTTTATAAAATTCTAAGCTGTTGCACTACAAAAATATAGATTTTAAGAAAATTGCTAAAAGAGATCTGCCAAAATTTATTTTCTAGAAGATTTGAAAAGTTTGAAACTTGATGGCTAAATGTAAATATAAAATTATGTATGTTAAAATATTTGTAATTAGGCACATAGGTCAGATTAAGTCTTTATTAAATAGAGTAACACATGCAAGGGCTATCTGCCTAAAGAGAGAGATGCCATCGTGGAGGAATTTTGAAGAAAAACTGACCTTTGAGTGGGTATTAAAAATAATACTTATAATTTTAATTCAAATTATATTCATATATATTTTTTATGTAAAACTTTCGGGTGTATGCTAAATTAGTGTAAATTACTTTACACGAAAAATATAGTGAATGCACAAAAATTAAAGATTTGCACATGCCGGAAATGATAAATAGGAAATATGTATGGGTATTTATGTATGTGCTTGCAAAAAGCATGCATCTGCCTTTGACAAAATACTTAAATATTCATTAAATTATTTATAAATGTATTTGAAACGAAGAATTTATTCACTTATAAACAACTGTGAAAGTACTGTGAAGAAATCTAATGATTAAATGTATCTAATTTATAATGATTATAAATGTTATCTAAATATATAATAACCTTAATATTGAATTGTAAACATAAATTGAAATCCTGTTTACAAATACGTTATAAAACTATTTAAGCAAGAATTGTTCGTATTGGAAAGCAGTCTGTTAAAAGGTATTGTAAAGCAAATGCTATGAGATGCGCACTTAAGAACGTAATAAAGAGTTTTGGAATATGTATTGTTGAAATGAAGGGTAAAAAAAAAAAAATCTGATAAGTATAATTAAAAGAATTATTCCCTTACTTACTTTATAATAACTCAGTTACAAGTTTTTAAATAATACTTAAAAAAAAAAAAAAAAAAAAAAAAAAAAAAAACTTATTTTATTCCCTTTCAGAAATGTTCAGAGAAAGTCAAATACTATTTAATACCTATTTAATTATTAGGAATTGGCGAAATACTTATTTAAAGTATTTCGCTAATTCCTAATCATTCTCTAATTTAAAATGAACCGAATAGAGCATTAATTATAAATTGACTTACATTTTTCGATTTAAAAGAAGCCAAAAAAATCATGTCATATTTAAGAAAGTATTTTAGGAAGAAGCTCTATAAATAGAAAAGAAATAATGCATAATTTTAATATTAATAATACAATAAACTTGTTAAAATAAAATATTATTAATATAATAATAAATAAATAAATAAAATATTAATAATACAATAAATCTTAATTTTTGTACCTTAACCGAATAAAATCGAATTACCTTAATTCTTTTTTTCTGATGTAATTAACGAAAACTTGTGAAAATATTTCATTCAAATTAAACCATTCTGAGAAAACTGTCCAGTGAAAAGTATAGCATTTAATTCCGTTCAGAATGAAATGTTGTTTAAAAATATGTTGTTTTCACATACTTAGGACTCTGAAGTGTTGTAGAAAAAGAAAATATATACATTTATATGTATATTTGAGACGTAATTACAAAATATTTACACCCGAACGCGTCAAATCCCATAGAACTCAATGGTAAATGACCCAATGTTTTGGTCACCACGTAGGGATCGCCGGTGCTTCAGAGCAGGGTACGGAGAAACTTGTTTAGGGCGACTCCATCTTACTTCCTACCTCCATGGTTGCTGTAGAGTACTAAAAATTGTCCAGATCGTGCCGTCAAAACTCACGATGGATTATCGAATCTGCATCGACTAGCCACACTAGTAAGTGGAAGCGAGTGTTCGATTCTATTCTTTTAATTTTGTAGAGGCGTTCTTATTGCAAGTTACTTTCTTGAAAGTTGTACTAAGTTTTAGTAGCCAAAGTTTTACAGACAGTTTAAGAAACGCTGGTGTAGCGCATCATAAAGCAATTTATCTTCTCATTTATAACAAAAATTACAGCAATAAACTTTAACAAATGATGAGTAATTTTGAATTCAATGACCTTCTAGTATATAAACTATGATTTACTTATAACTCCTTTTTAAGCTAAACAACCCTTAATTTCTTTTAAAATATAAAATTATATATATATCTATATCTATCTATCTATATTTAATGAAGGTAACAGCTAGAGATGCACAAATAATTATAGAGAAAAATACAAAACATATGAACAATTTCTCCAGAGCTGTAACAGATATTTTCAGAAAAAGAAAAAATAAATAAAATAAGAAGAAAACACAAATAAAATAAGTACAATTTTAAGACGTAACAACCATACCTTCAGGATCCAGAAGTTTTGTAATACCAAATTCTTTTTCAGCAATTGAAAACGCTAATTCTAAATTTTCCTTCGCATTCCTCGTCCTTAGGGATCGGAAGTCCAAAAGGTCAGGCCTGGTTAAATTTCAGAAATGATTTCTTAATTGAGAAAAAATATTTCATCTATTCACACAATTTATCACACGTAACCTCAAAACTTTGAATATATATTTTACTCCATAAAACATGCTGCAAATTATTAGGAAAGCTTATGCTCCATACACCGTCTAGCGCAACTTTTATGATAATTTAGATCACCGTAAATCTTAAGGCATTTAAGATACTATATTTACTCATGTACTTTTTACCTAGTTTTTTCACCATCTCACACAGAAACATTTATTGCAGCGATGTGAAAAGTATGGAAAAATAACAAAGTACGTTGTATAAGAAAAATAAATAATGAATATAACTGAAATTAATAACTGCAGCTGATATCAATGAAGTATAGGGCAATAACAGTACATTTGTCCGTATGTGCTTTCAAAATCTTCTAAGTGCTTCATTTAATCCTTCCTATCAAGAAAAGATACACCAACGTAATTTTCTATTTTCAAAAGGTAAAAGCAATAAATGAGGGGGGGGGTGAGAAAAATAAAACAAAAATAAATACGAGAAATCAAATTCAAACGTGCACTGACAATTCTGCCTGCTCATAATAAATATGCAGGTGAACAAAATGGCTATGAAAAATCTACACTATTAAAAATCTGTTCAAGTCTGTCTGTTTGTGAAATCATCTCCTCTGGAACGGCGGGGCGTTGAGTTTTCTCATCTTCGTGCGATTTTAATCAGCCGAGGTATTAATTGAAAACTCTGAAAACGCTAATTTTCGCACTCATTATTCTGAGTCTCCCGCACTGGAGATAAAAATTTGTTTTATTTCGAAAAGTGTTGCCACTGTTCGCTTTCAGATCGTAGAGTTTATTAATAAAAAATTGAAGGTTTCATAAAATATTAAATAAAAACAGTGTTCCCAAACATTAAATATATTATTATTAATATGTAAGGTCATATTCTGGCGATGAAGAAAGCAGGCGATTGCACGTGACGTCATCGTAAGTCGAAAATGTTTGTTTAATTTCAGCATTTTAAATACACAGCTGCTGTTGGCAACTTTTTTGTTTTAGATTAGGATAACTGACGCGGTATGCTATTGCCATGTCCATTGTTTTATTGATAAGTTGTTACATTGCATTAAATTTAAATTATGACGTCATACGTATACGTATTAATCTGATCTGTCAAAAGTTTTTGCTTCCTAGTTTGGCAACAAAAAAAATTATTTACAAATTAGTTGTTGCTGATTTCATTCATACTGAAATGTTTTTATACATTTTCTTTTCGGGTTTCCAAGAGAATAAACTGAGATTAAAGGAGTTTCCTTCTACATGTAACATGAATTACCCTTGCAAATGCAAGGAATTATGGCACTCCTCCTACACGTTTTCATGATATAGTAATTACCGCATCCAGTAAATCAACTGTAGATCGCTGATTCGATTTTTTTGTGAAGATATCATTAATTTTCCACGAGGAGAGGGAGCAGAAAGCCTATAAATGCCTGCACACAAATAACATTAACTAAGTTTTTAGTTTCAGAAATCTTACGCTGGAATACTATCAACATCAAAGGCAAGCCACAAATGGATTTTTCACAGAATCACTACAAATCACTTGGAATGCGATGCAAGATTTCATGATTATATTAAATATATTTTATCGAGATTTTTTATCCTTCAGTTTTCAGAGTTTATTCATTATCAAAGAACTATTATAAAATAGCGCAAATTTGAACGGACATAATCCATAAATGAATGTAGGTTTCCTCTCTGACAGAGATTTCATAGTAAGGTTATAAGGTATTTCTCCCGCTTTCCTAGCGTCCTTCGTGGTGTAGCGGTTTTGCACGCAGGGCCGGTATTCCAGAGGTCCGTGGTTTGATTCCCGGCGAACGCGGTTGCTATTTTTCATCTTTCTGCTTCCAAAAATATCCTAATGTCTCTACATGGTGAGTTCCAAGCATAGAACACATAGAAAAGCCGTTAACTCATAAGCGATAACTAAACAAAGGGATATTCCGCTTTGGATAAGTAATATGTTTAATTTATACGGATCGCCAAATGTATTGATCGCCTATGATGCTAAAAATGTTATTCATAGTTCACTAGTTTTGCATACTATACGCTTCAATCACTTGCTTATATTATAAAATATGCATTTTCTTTTCAACAATAAGAAAATGGGGAATATTGACTAAAAGAGATGGAGACGAATAGTTTTCAGGTTTACTGATGCAACGATGGTTTTCCTGTCAAGAGATTTTAGTTAAACAAAGTTCGTTTAATCGACGTTTTACAGTTACAGCAAATATTTTATACAATCTGTAGAGTGATTAGGTTATTCTGAAGCAGGAAACATGAACAAGGAGCAATACTCTCGCCGAGATTCGAATCTGAACCTCTCGAATACGCCCCGCGTGTGCTACTGTTACACCACGAAGGCATGCTGGAAAGAGGAAGAAAACCCTTTTAAAGGGTGACTGCGGACTAGGGGACCCAACCGCCAAATCTGGGTGGTGGCGCATTACTGTCCACCATCTTTTAGTTCGGCCGCCACCTAAAATCATTAGTCTTGTTTCCCGCCGATTTCCATGAATCAGAGCTTTCTTGCGCGTTAACGTATCCCTGTGAGCCTTCAGGCTAAATTTATTACATTCTATTTTTAAGTTCATTGTTATCCATTTTTGAGTTAAGCCAGAAGTGTTGGCTTTGTATAAGCCCAAGAGGGACCATTTGTGCAATTATACTGATTGAATAAAGGGTCCTTTACACCCTTCTTCTGCCTATTTTGTTGTAACTAAAGAACCTGGTGATAATTTCTCATACAGTCTTTTAGAGCTCATTAATTAATGTTCCCTAAAAGAATGAGACTCTATATTGGCGCCCGAATAATAAGAAGTATGCCACAGAAATTATTATTTTGCCTTCAACGTCGCGAGCACCGTCAACCACGGTGAACCCCATGGAGGCATTTGGATTTATTGTCGACACCCTTACAGCTGCTATGAAACCAGCAGCAACTTTTGATGGAAAGACCTCAGTCTAGAAATTTATTGAACAATTAATTTCTCATTTTCTGCTGCATCCATTACTCCATTACCAGAAGAGCAAAAAGTTACCGTTACCACATCCGCCCTTAGAGGCCAGGCTTCTATGTGTTATAAATGCACTGATGACGAGTTTGTGTTGGGTAAAGCCTGGTAGCGAAAATTCCAACTTAAATACTTTGAGAATGCGTTAATTAAAGCGTTCCCTATTGTCAAAGATAGTGCCAAGCGCGATTCAGACCTATATTTAGTAAATTATAGTTTAAAGCCGAGGATTTGACGGACTTCGACTTGAAGAAAGTCAAAATTTTTAAATTGTTGTACAACAAAAGGCCGGATGAAGAAATAATTCAAGTAATATTGCCACGACTACTACCTCAAGTAAAAGATTATTTCGAGCTCCGAAATCCAACTACGTTAGAATGCTTATTCAAATTAGCCACGAAGTACCAAAATCGACGAGTGGCAGAAAAATTTCGAATAGCAGGGTATGGTAAGATGCCAAAGAAGCCAAGTTTTTAGGCCAACGCCTCAGCGGAAACTGCAGTTTGAGCCGAAAAGGCAATTTGAAAAGAGAGAGAAAAATTCAACCGGAAGTAGTATGGAGGTAAGAAAAGCTATCTCGTAAAAACTAAATGTAATTATTACATTTAGTATTGTTTGTTGCTATACATTTAGTATAGCTTTTACTACTTTAGTATTGTTTGCTGCTGTTACATGGTTTTACATTTTTGCTAAGGAACTATAGTGTCAAATGTATTTTTTAGCATTAGCTTTTAAACATTCCTCTTACTTAAAAAAAAAAAAAAAAAAAAAAAAAAATTAAAATTGTGCAGCTCAGTGCACAAAATTCTTGACCACTAAGGTCTCTCTAATTTGTGTTGTCTTGCTATTTATATATTATATGTGTGTGTGTGTGTTTCCATATGTATAAATACACTGGTGTGCAAAAATTAAGGACGAGACGGTTTTTTTCAATATAACTTTGTACAAAAGCTTTCCAAATCAACACATTTAATACCGTAAGATCCCCAATACGTAAGGACATGAGTAATGTAAGCAACACTTACTAAAAGAGAAATCAGAGGGATAAAAAGAAGCTTTATTGAAAAAGTAGCATGGAGCGCAATGAGCCTGAAGGCCGAAACATCCCTGTGATGGGTGTCCAGCAAGAACATCCGGTCTTTAATATTAGATATAATCTCCCCTGACTGGCTAGGCAGGTTTCACAGCGTCTGCCCATGCTCAGAATGAGGGTGTCAATGAGTTGTTGAGGCATTGCTGCCCATTCGTCTTGCAGCTCCAATCGAAGCTCCGGAATCGTTACTGGTGGTAAGGTACGAGCTGCTAAGCGTCTGCCTAGAAAATCCCATACATGCTCGATGAGATTGAGATCCGGAGATCGTGCCGGCCAATCCATACGTTCAATATCCTCACTCTCTAAGAGCTGTTCGGCAGCTACTGTGCGATGACATGGTGCATTGTCGTCCATGAAAAGGAACTGCGGACCCATAGCGCCTCTAAAAAGACGCACATATGGAAGAAGAATCTCGTTACAATAACGGGTCCCGTTGACTGAACCTGCGTCGAAGATGTGAAGGTCTGTACGACTACCAGCATGATGCCTCCCCAAACGAGAACACCGCCACCTCCATACCTGTCCCTTTCAATGATGTTCGAGGGATGATTGCGGCTTCCCCGCTCTCTCCAGATGAGTATGCGATGAGAATCGCTACTCAGACTGAATCTGCTCTCATCTGTAAAGAGTACTCGTCCCCATTCATTGTCTCTCCAATACCGGTGTTCCCGGCACCACAGAGAACGCCTTCTCCGATGGGCAGGCGTTAGAGGTACACACCGTACAGGGCGTCATGCAAACAGACAACCACCGTGCAGTCTTCTGGCCACGGTAAAACGCGATATCGGTCGTCCAGTCGCCTGTGTAGTGTGTCTAGCGATTTCTCCC